GCATACTGTCATCATCGTGCTACTTTGCTTTTAGTTATTGTGGTTAATCCCTTACTGAGCCTGGTGTGTATGCTAAAACGTATCACAGGCATGGACATATAGGAAAAAATATAGCATATACAGTGCTTGTTCCTCTCTAGGTTTCAGGCATCCACCGGGGGTTTTGGAATGTATCCCCCCAGGTAAGAGGAGATGACCTGTAATAATTCTCTTCACCCAAAGCTTACTCGTGTTCTGATCAAAGCAACAGTTATGCTGCAGCCCTCCACTCAAGAGACAGAGGCTCGGCAGCTGACCTCTCCTACGATTCTGAGAGCTTACTGACAACTGGTCAACATTTGGCCATGCTTGAAATCTCATATTGCCAGCTTTTTCTTCCTCTAACCCGCTCCTGTACTCACCTCTCTTTCTACCCACATTCAAACCATCCAACTTAATTCTTGGGAAGCTGCATAAATTTCATAGTATATCACATCATGTACTTGTTGAACTGACTCACCCACAAAATTTCAAACATGTGGGCATTTAATTAAAGCTTCTTACTGATGATTTCAACAGAGAAAAATGGACAGGATTCAGTGTCATGTAAACTTTGTAAGAGCATCACCATCTGGTTACAAGAGGTCACAGACTAGACCAGTTCAAGCTGGTCCACACAGGAGGTGGTCAAAAAGTACCGACTCTCCAGACATTTAGCAGAATGTTAACCAAGCTGCTGGTATTTCAGAAACTTCAAGAAGCTCAAGAAGTGACCTATATAATTATGTTTTCAATATTTAAATCATTCCTTATCTCCAAATAATTTTTGAGTCAAAAACACTGCTTTTCCAAAAGAACTTTTCTGCTAAAAGTATCATGTAAGACACCATGAATATGAAGTAAACACTTTCCCCTTATTTACAGATTAAGAAGCACATCTAGGCGAGGCACAGTGGCTCATATCTCAGCACTTTGGGAGGCCAAGGCAGGAGGATCACTTGAGGCCAGAAGTTCAAGACCAGCCTGGGCAACACAGCAAGAACCCATCTCTACAAAAATAAAAAATAACTGTGTGGTGGCACACACCTGTAGTCCTAGCTACCTGGGAGGCTAAGGTGGGAGGATCGCTTGGGCCCAGGGGTTCAAGGTTACAGTGAACAATGATTGCACCACTGCATTCCAGAGCAACAGAGCAAGACCCTGTCCCTAAAAAAAATAATAATAAAATTTAAAAGCAGCACATCAGTTCTGATTACACACAACCAAGATTAAATCTGTAAAAGGAAAACTCCTTCTGTCCATATTGCCATTCCCTTCTGAGTGTGCTTCAGAAGCTCAGGAAACGAGTTCTGAAAGCAAACTTTTCTTCTTTTCCAGGGAGGACGGGAACGTGGGGCCTCTTGACCTATAAAACTCAGTATTTTGGAACATCCGTAATTCTACCAAGTCTGTGGCAGTCTAATAGACTCCTTTTAGCAAACCACCAGCCAGCCAGGGTTGGAGAGCAAGGCTTTCATCCCTAGGAGTTGACAAGGACAGGACCCAAGAACTCCCTGGGAGGGGGGGAAAAAAAGCCTCTACTTCAGTTTGCATTACAAACTGCTGGAAAAGACAGATGGAGGTATGACAGGAAAAGCAATTATTTCTTCTGGGCTTCCTTTCTGTCTGGATTCTAAGGAGACGAATACAAAATTCCATCACAGATTGAAATGCTATCTAAACATTCTTGAAAATATGGTTTTGCTCTCTGAAATATGACCTGCTGGGCTGCAGCAACCTGTAACCTATTAACACGGGATGGTGGAGAATGCCGACTGTCCAGCAGGCTGTCTAATTCTGGGTCTGACTCTGCAATACTGCTAGTTTGCAAGAGTCCAGAACCACAGGTTGAAACATAAATAACTACAAGATATACATCTATTATACACAGCATGACCCAACAAAAAATGCCGATGAATCATTCACTATTTTCACATTCTTGAAATTTTAAATATCTAAGACTTCTGTATTTTAAGATTTCTAGTGAGCCATTCCAAATGTAGGCTGAATCACACTGAACAGTAGTGGTGCTATTCCAAATAGTAGTAAGTTGGGACTATTCAGGAAAAAAAAAACAAATTTCAAATCACTTTTAAGGAACACCCAGTTGCTGATCAAAATGTTTTTATAATAAAATGTTGTTTATTTATAATTAATAAACAATCTTAGCAGATAAAACATTCAATACAGTTGAATAAAATGTTGTGGGGTTTTGCTGTTGCTTTTGGAGATGGGGTCTCACTCTGTCACCCGGGTCAGAGTACAGTGGCACCATTTCAGCTCACTGAAGCTTGTACCACCATACCCAGCTTATTCTTTTACCTTTTTGTAGAGACGGGCATCACTATGTTGCCCAGGCTGGTCTCAATCTTCTGACCTCAAGCAAGCCTCCCACCTAGGCATCCCAAAGTGTTGGGGTTACAAGCGTGAGCCATTGCACCCAGCTCAGTTGAATGTTATTGCACGTGGACCATGTGTAGTGAAATATAAAGACAACAAAGGCATAGTTCTCACCATCACGGAGCTTATAAACATCAAAGGAATGAGACTTGTTCTTTAGCAAGTCAAGGGAGACCCCAAAAGCCAAATGAAAAGTACAAGAATAGGGCTGTGGGATTTATGAGATAAAAAATATCAAGTGATACTGGAATCCATTTTCTCCTCTGTAAAACGAGGGGAGTGGCCCAGATGAGTTTCTAATCCTTTCTAGTTCAAAATTCTCATTCCTTGGTGCATTCAGACGAGGTAAACAGAAAGTGTCATCAAGAAACTAGTATCTGACCTGGCCCTTGGATGGGTAAGATTTGGAAATGCAGCTGCTGAAAGAAATAGGAGAAAAAGCATTTCAAAGCACAAAGCAGTATGGAAGCACAGGCCCAGAGAGCACAGGCATGCTGGTAGAGCATGACATCTTCAGCACAGACAGAACACAATGTGACAGGCATGCTGGTACAGCATGACGTCTTCAGTATAGACAGAACACAACGGGAGACAAAACCGGAATGGAGACCAAAAATTTTCAATGCCAAGCAAAGGAATCTGGATTTCTTTCTTTTCTTTTATTTTTTTTGAAACGGGGTCTCAACTGTGATTCCCAGGCTGGAGTGCAATGGTGCAATCATGGGCTCACTGCAGCACGCATTCCTGGATTCCGTTGATCTTCCCGCCTCGGTCTCCTAGTAGCTGGGACTACAGGCACAGACCACCACCATGCCCAGCTAATTTTGTACTTTTGTAGAGGCAGGGTTTTGTCACATTGCCCAGGCTGGTCTTGAACTCCTGGATCAAGTGATCTCCCTGCCTCGGCTCTCAAAGTGTTGGGATTGCAGGCGTGAGCCACCACGCCTGGGTCCTGGATTTCATTTGGTACCAGAGCTGATGAGGTGTCTGCAGAGGCAGACAACACAATCAAACATCTATCAGGAAACTGAAGCAGCAGAAGTGCAGCTGGAATGCCTGAGGCTACCCTCTCACTCATTATGACCCCTCTGAAGGTCCCATTATATGGGGCTCATCTGCCAAAGAAGCCAAGCTTCGCGAAGCGTACCTCACAGACAAAAAACGAGGAAATGAGAACTAAAACCCATGCCAGAGTCCAGAAAACAGAAGAGTTTCAGGAACCTAATGTGCCTACACAGATTCTGATGATGACAAGAGGCCAACTCCTTACCAACAGGCCAAAGGAAACTGGCTACCAAATGGAAAGAGACGATAAGTGGAAAAAGAAAGTGCTTATAACGTAGCAAAAACAGACAGATGGGTAAAACTAAAAATGCAAAAGAGACTACTAACATCTGTAAGCCACTAGCAGAGGAAACAGAAATATCAGAGATCTGGAAATTTCAACAGAGGATTATACCATCCTCCCACTCCAAATGTGGGCAGCATCATGAGTATTTTTTAGAAATCAGCTGTCCTAAAAAATGTCCAAGAGGAGAAATAACAGAACTGAAGCGACTGTAAGGTACGCTCCTGACCTAACTGAATTATCACTGAAAAGGGAGGACTGGACATGCATGGGTAGGGAGGAAAAGACTAGAAAGGCATGAGCAGCGTTCTATGACAACGGCGATTTCTGAAATACAATGCCTCCACAGAAGAACAGAATCAAGGAAAAAAGAAAATGGTTGACAGATACATCTGGCCCCTCAATGACTGAAGAATATCTCCTCCCTAACACTGCTTCCCTTCAAACAGCCCTCCTTACTAGATCCAGTAAGACTTACAAAACTTTTTTTTTTTTTTTTTGAGACAGAGTCTCACTCTATCATCCAGGCTGGAGTGCAGTGGTATGATCTTGGCTTACTGTAACCTCCCTGACCCAGGTTCAAGTGACTCTCACGCCTCAGCTTCCCAAGTAGCCGGGATTACAGGAGCGCACAACCACACCCGGCTAATTTTGTATTTTTAGTAGAGACAGGGTTTTGCCATGTCGGCCAGGCTGGTCCTCGAACTCCTGGCCTCAAGTGATCCACCTGCTTCAGCCTCCCAAAGTGCTGGGATTACAGGAGTGAGCCACTGTGTCAGGTCAACTTGGAAAATTTTTAAATGATTCTTAACTGCCTGCTGGCAAAGTGAGGTACAAGGAATCATACCTATGTCGTGTTACTATCTTTTGCAGCCACAATAGTAGTATCTAAATGCCAACAACTTAGCTGACAAATGCAGCAACCTCATTCAGCCACAGACCACAAAATAAAGGAGCTATCTGGCACTAAGGAGAAAGACGAGGAAACTCCAGGGTTCTCATCTGGCCTGCAGGCCCTCTGGCCCCAAGTGAGCTGTGCCACAAGTATACGACCCTGGTCCAGTGGACACTAAGTGACAGCACAAGGCTGCTCTGGGCGCCTGCTTGCCTGTCCTGTCCTGCCGCGTGGTGTGTGAAACCATCAATCACAAAGTGCACTGCAAGAAGGCACATCAACATTTTGGTCATCCGGCTGCTGGGAGAATACAGGTAATACGGAGGAATAGTTACTTACTTGCCGTCCATCCTGCCCCACGTTCGTCTGACCTCTTACAACAGTTCGAATATTGTCATCCAGTCTCCTGGCAAAAAAGTTCAAGGATCAGTCATTCAATAATCTTTACCCTAGGCTGACCAAAAGAAAAAAAAAAAAACAGAATTTATCCACCAGCTTCTGTAGACTGCACCTAATTGTCCCGAAAACCAAACATGTGTGAGTGATATCAGGGAGGAGGAGGGCAGCAAAAAGCAGTGCGGGAAGCCAAGCCTAGCGCAGACGAATGCTTCGGCTTGTTTTTTTTGCAACCTCCACCTCCCGGGTCCAAGCAATTCTCCTGCCTCAGCCTCCCGAGTAGCTGGACCTACAGGCGCCCACCACCACGCCTGGCTAATTTTTTGTATTTTTAGTAGAGACAGTGTTTCACCATGTTAGCCAGGATAGTCTTAAACTGCTGACCTCGTGATCTGCCCGCCTCGGCCTCCCAAAGTGCTGGGATTACAGGCATGAGCCACCATGTCCAGCCGCTTCGCCTTTTTTTTTTTAAAAAATGGCTTCTTCTTTTTTTTTTTTTTTTTTCTTTTTTCATTCTTTTGAGATGGAGTTTCGCTCCTGTTACCAGGCTGGAGTGCAATGGCGCGATCTCAGCTCACCGCAACCTCCGCCTCCTGGGTTCAGGCAATTCTCCTGCCTCAGCCTTCCCGAGTAGCTGGGATCACAGGCACACGCCACCATGCCCAGCTAACTTTTTGTATTTTTAGTAGAGACGGGGTTTCACCTTGGTTGACCAGGATGGTCTCGATCTCTTGACCTCGTGATCCACCCGCCTCGGCCTCCAAAGTGCTGGGATTACAGGCTTGAGCCACCGCGCCCGGCCTAAAAATGGCATTCTTTTACTTATTATTCAGAGCTCTCTGAAAGGCTAATAAAACTTGCAGTATTTTTCATGGAGTAAATCAGGAATTACAAAGTTCCTGAGCCTTTACGGGAACACGCCAGAGAACTTAAATTACCTCACACAAAATCCGTTCCTCAGTCCTCATAAGTAGAAAGAG